TATTTTATCCTTAGTAAACAATGGGTTCATTCGTGTCCTGCGTATTTCTTCTCTTTGAAATACTAGAAATACTAAATAACAATTCCTATTTTTTCCTTTTTTTTAAGTATACAACTTTATAAATATTTTCTAAAGATTTGAAATATATAATATAAGAATCACTTAATAATTGTTGTATATCTGTAAAAAAGTAAACTGACCGAGACACGAACGATCTATCGTGTATACTAACGGTTAAATAATTAATATAAGACCGCATAATAAAAATTACAAATTAGAAAAATACAAAATTAAAAATTACAAGAAAGTAATTTTATCTAAATTATTTTTTTCCTAAATTTAGAAATAATGGGGCTGAGACTGTCAAAAAAGGGGTTAAAATCGGTACGCATCATGATCTTTCGCAAGCGGTATTTTACGTATTCAAAGTTACTCGCGTAAAGCTCCACGGTTCGGATGGTTGCACGGTAAAATTTACTTCCTCGCTCCCGGAAGTCGCGTTATTCCTTCCGGACGGAGGCGAGTCCCGAGAGCCGTCTGCCAACATTATAGACACGGTGCTTACAGTGCTCTCCATACAACGGAGCGAGTCAATACTTTATAGTTCGAAGTGAACTCGCTCGCTTGCTCGTACTTCGCTATCACCCCCTCGTCGCGCCACTCCCTTCGCTAGGAACCGTCGCGGAGGGTGCCAAGAGCACCAGGGGCTTTACATTGCTTCTCATGCCCTTTCTGCCCATCACCGAGCGCAAGTACGACCGACGTATAGTGAGTTCTGTCGGTCTGCGAATGTCCTCTACGAAGACTAGAGCATGTAAAAAAGAATGATTCGAGGGGAAATTTACTAACACATTTATTAAATAACAAGAAATTGATTTGACAATTTAATTACAGAAAATAATTCAATTTTCAAGTTTTAATTACGTATTAAGAACAATTATTAATTAGAACTTTGTCAATTTACTATGTTTGCCTCCATTTTGATGGAGAGCGCAATCATAAATGTATAAGCATATATTAAATTAAAAACTGAAAATTATCGTAAATTTTATGCCACAAAGAAATTAAAAAATTTGTAAAAAAAGCTACGTTTTGATATCGCATATTTGATTATTAAGAATAAATCGCATTGATATTTTGAGTATTCTGAAAATAATTTAAAAGTTATGAAATATTTATATAATCTACTTCGTCATACTTATTGTAAATTTATTGTTAGAGCCGTATATAATTAGAAAATATTATAAGATATTTAAATCTCTCTATAGTAAGAATAATCAAGGCTCTTACAAAATAATTATAGACCTAAAATAATTCGCGATATGTGCATATTTTGGGTCAAGATGTCGAAGAAATTGTTGAGGCATCTAGTAAGATAAAAACTTGCTGCGTTGTCGCAAAAAGTAATCATATCTAATTCTCACTAAAAATGAATAATTCTTAGATAAACCTCTGAGTTAAACAGTCACAACAGAAAAAAAACGAGATGCGAGATATAAATGTTTTCAACGCAGAATATTTAGAATGATATTTAACACTGTAAAAAATTGTTCAATAGTTTTTTTTAATTAGCGAAACGTAGTGCGAAAACGCTGTTGCGTGAGGTCCATGACCGGAAGGGTGGCGAGTGTTACAGGGCGACCGTCTCGGAGGGGCGAGGTGGCGAGTATCTAGGTCTGTGTAACGATTTTTAGAGATCCGACCCTTACGATCGTTCAGCCCATAAAAAACTTGAGGCACCCCACAGTAGTCGAAGAGCCAGGGTTTCCATAGCGACGAAGCCCTTTCGCTCTTCGCCCGCAGGGCCTCCTTTGCCCTGTTCTGCGGTAACCTACCGGCTGCCGTTGCCACCACCCTTAACGCGTCGTACCGGCCTCGAATCCCGGAGATATACGTCGTAACATGAACGCGACATAGCCAGCCCAGAACCGATGAAAATTGCTCAGTCGATCGCTCGGTTAAATTTCTTACCCTTCTACATATCTATATATCGCGCTTCGCGAGAAAGTATAATTATCTAATTCTTCAATTCAAAAGATTTTTTTAATTTGTCATCAAATCGCAAAATTGTTATCTCTTCTAAGATCAATAGTGCGGATTCATATAAAAAAAAGAAGTTACTGATTAAATATTAAAGAGATACTCATATACAATGATTCTAATTAAATCTGAAGAATGCTAATTCTAATAATTCTAATATTATAATATATGAAATAAGACTGTAGTTAATTACTAAAATTATATGGTCTTTTCAGCGGATTTTCGTAAAGAATTCGTGCTGGTTCGCCGGGGTATTTCTTTGAATTCATACAACGAGAACAGTACTTTCTCTCCACCGGTGCGTCAGTTCTTTTCTAGGGATACGAAAATAAATCGCGAGTTTTGGGATGCCTGACCGGTTACTCAGACCATTTAGTCATTCCTCTTATACCGGGTATACTGGGCATCGCGCAGTCACGAGAACTCATCGTTGGGAACTGTCCAGATCACGAATTAGATCGTAAAAGAGAAGGACGACTCTACGCTCTCTTGCAGGAGCACGGAAATAAACGCGTTAAGTAATGATACAAATGTACGAACAGCGTACATTTCAACACGGGAATCGGCCGGCGTAAATGTAAAAATTCGATAACAAACACATCAGAAAGTTTTATTCGAACGAATTATTAAATTAACGTGGCGATGTATATTCATAGATATAAATAAATTACAACTAACATTTATACCTTATCTCACATTTACGACGATCCAAACGCGAAATGTATTGGTATTTTATTAATTATTAATTCTCCGTGATCCAACCGGGGCTTTAAAAACCCAGATAAATTTTCAACTTTGAATTATTAAATTTTCCTCAAATTCGGACATGTTATACGCAAAAGTGAAAAAGTTTCGGGTTGTATCAGAATTTTTCAAATCTTTTAGAGTCCAAAAACCCTTTGAAAACATACTCAATCACCATATGATCCCGTTAGATAAGGAAAACAGTAAAAAAAAAACGTTGGAGGGTTAATTTAATACATATTTATAGAGGCCACAAAATATAACGAAAAGCCCGAAAAAAATGCTTCATTTCTTATTAGCTTATTACAATTATAACGCATGAGTCAAAACGTTATAGCAAAGTTTTTGATAATAAAATATCTCTGCAGTTAATTTGTAAAGGAAAGATCAATTTTTGCCTCTCGTACGTAAATTGAAAGTTAAGTTTATATGGTCGCTGTCGGTGAGAGAGAGTTCAATTGTCGTCCCCATCGTCGTAGTTGCCCAGCATTATAGTCGCTGTATAACTCGCACGTGGGGAAAAGGGAGTGATAGGGTATAAAAGGGGTAAGGATGAAGAAAGAAGAATACGTTCGACCGGTGCACGAAGGAACTATAATCGTCTGATTTGTACGCGGAGTCACGACTCGTGTACGTAGCCAGACGTAATCAAAAACACGAGATAGAACACGCGAGCCGTGCGGCCCTGTCCTCGACTCTTCTCTTTCTCTCTCTGTATTGTATATATGTATATATATATATATTTCTGTTTGTCTCTTATTGGCGCACTAATCTTTATTGTATCCTTATCTTAATTCTGACTTGTGTGTGTGTGTGATGGCGCATGATAAATTCATCACGATTATGTATATTCATTACACAAATTAGATTACTTTTGCGGAAAGTTTCTTTCATCCTTTATCTCGAAAATTGTATTTACTACTGAACTGATACTTGAAAATGTCAGTTTTAACGTCAGTTACATCATCAAAGATGTATATATTAATAATAAAAGAAATAATAATTGTTATTTGTTATCCTCTCATTATCGAAGATTTAATTGAATGTAATGGATAAAAGTGTCAAACGAGTGCAAAGCCTATCAGAAAATCTATCATCTTCTATGCGCGAATAAAACGAGCATTTTCACAATAATATAAAAAAGCAAAAAAAACTGATATGTGAAACTAATTGTAAGAGAAGTAAATTCGAAGAAATTATCTCCCTTCTCTTTTGGTTCAGCCAAAAGTATGAACGTGAGCAGTGCTCCGATTTCTGTTTTGGTCGTCGTAAACGAAAGGAAGCGTGAGGTGATGCACGAAAAGGTACAAAACGGAAAAAAAGGAGCACAAGGGAGGACCGGATTGTGGAAGATGGTGCACGATTGGAATAGTTAAAAATAACTCTGACCAAAGATCCTGCGGTTCCTGTAAACACGAGCTCGAGCATGACAAAACGAGCATGGCGCTATTTCTCATGCGAATATACAGAGGGTGAGCAGAGGGATTTTAGCGAAGCGATAAACCAGCGAAAGGATATGCGCGCGAGTCTCATTCAGATGCATTTAAAGAATCAACACGAGAGCATTGCCTTATTGCTTCCCATAGAATGACGGCTTTCAAAGTGAAAAAACATTTCTTATTTTTTAGCTTGTGCTAAACGAATGGAGCGATATCTTGTTAAACTTGTTGTTGACAAAAGTTTGCGTGTTGCGATTAAAAAAGTTAGTGTCTGTAATATAACTTAAAGCAATCAGAAAAGCGTTTCTTCAAAAATTATCTAATAAATTTAATAGCACATTATCTAGTAAATATATTTTAAGTTTCTGTATCTCTCGTCATTAATATAATTATGTAATTTTAGTGTTTAGTAAATATAAAAATATAGCAATTTAATTGATAGAATTGAATTCCAGAATTATCTAAAGAGATCTTACCATTATTTCAAATATAAATAACCGGCTTACTGTTCAAAGGATTTATTCCTCCATGTATATTTTATTTTGTACATTAAAAATTTCTAGGCACAATTTTGCAACTTTAAAGAAATCTTTAATAATATATTATTAATATATATATAAGCTATAAAATAATATATCTCAATTTTATTGTGGAGAAAATTTTTTATTTTCGTACAAAAAGCAATTTCTTTTTTAATTTTTAATTTAGTTTTACTTCCTATTCTATACCCTTTCAACATTAAGCGAGACATTAATCTAATTTATATTTAACACTCACGTGCTTCCATAGAGGTGTCTTGAGTCAGTGGTGGATGCTGCGTCGTCGTCGTCGTCGTCGTCGACGATGCAAATGAATCTTCGTTGTCGCGCGCGATGGTGACCTTGACCTGCTCCTCGTCGTCTTGCTCGCCCTTCGATGAGCTACGTTCAGAACTCGCGCGCACCCTTACACGCTCGGCCACCTGCACATCGTCTCCGGAGAACGCCGACCGCGACGATAACATCGGCCCGGCGACTGTTGTCGTGGTCCACTCGATGACACTATCACCACCAACTACGACCGCACCATTATCCTCGTTTCTCACGAGCACCAACTCCTTTCCTCTCTTATCACCTTCCACTCGGTCCTCGGTCACTCTCTCGACGTCATTTTTCTCAGGCACGGTGCTTCTGGCGTGCTGAGTCGCACCGAGATACACGATGTTCCGCGTGATCGTTCTAGTCGCCACCGCCGTCGTCGTCGTCGTCGCCGTTATCTTCGAAGCACTTTCGCGAAGTAAGATATCTCGTAGGGAGCTTTCCGGACGCAATATCGATCCTCCAAACTCGAAGACGGGCTCTAACAGCGGAGTAAAAGTCTGAACTGCAGGGCGAACCCTTTCATCGATTGACGGCCCGGGTTCCACTTTACGAGATTGCGGAGGGTGTTCGTTAGCACGTCGCCATGCCTCCGGCCAAGGGTCGATGAAGTTCGGGGAGGGTTGATCTTTCAGCTTCGATCTCTTGCTTATCGCTACTCGCTTCGCTCTTCCTCGTCGCACTACGATCTCTTCGTTCTCGTTGTCACGACTCGGCGTCAGAATGGAAAGATCTTGATGTCTGACGACGACGGTATTCAGCGGCGTTAAAGACGGCGACGGTCTCAATAACGTCGGAGGCGACGACGACGACAGCGGCGGCGTCAACAATAACGGCGACGTTAATGACAGGGGTGACGTCAAGGATGGCGCGGACGAAGGCGAAAGGCGTGTCGCCAATGTAAGATGATCCAGAATTCCCTGATTCGCGTAACCTTCGGAACCGACGTCGTTAGGGCTGGACGCGCGCTTGATCGCCCTCCGGAACGGGCGCGACGCGAACAAATAATCGGACGATCGCGGCGGCAGGTAAACGGGCGTAGTAGCGTCGGCTACTGGATGGACGCTATTTAACGGTTCGAGTATCACCGGCGCGGCCGTCGTCACGTGCGTGAGATCGTCGAGAAGAGCAACAACGAGAAGAAGCAGGGGCAAGCCCACCCCCGCCCCCGTGGTGGCTCCCGCTATCCCCTGCCGTGCGATAAGAATCCGCGAGGCGGCCGTTCAATCCGGCTGTCCGCGATCCGCTCGCGACGGTGAACTTTCACGTTCTTTGTCTTCTTTTCCTCCTCCTCCTCTCCCTCCTCCTGCTCCTCTTCCTCGCGATTTACATGCAACCACGCGATCCAGCGGTTCTCCTGGAACACCTGCCCGCATTCGACAATTGTGTCTCGCGTCCCCACGTTTGATCCACCTCGGCTCGTGCCGGCGTCGTGCCGTTTTGGCATTTATTATCCCGTCGCGCGTCCCAAACACGTGCTGCTGCCCCTGTTGCGCTCGATGTTGCCGCCGCGATGGGCGATCGACTTTACCGTATACTCGATCGACGAGCCGGACAATACTGTGCACCCTGTCCACGGGCATTCCGCCATCATCGTGCACCCCGTGAACAGTCGGTGCCGCGACTCGCGTCCCGACGATGCTCGACGCATTGAAGTTGCCCGGCTGCGTCGCGCGGCATCTTCCGCTCGCGCTTCACGCCTCCTCTTCCTTCTCCGCGTCCTTGCTTTCTACAGACGATATCCAAATAGTGTTCAAAGGATTACAGCGCAATCTGAAACAATCAAACATACTTGGATCAATACACCTTTCTACTTAATCCTTTATAGAAACGCATTTATTCTTCGCGCTTTTTTTCCTTTGATAGTTTCTCAATTGAATTTAAAGTACTTAATAATATAAGATTTTCATCCAATTTTATTTTGTTTTTCTAATTTATTTTTCTTAATAAATAATATCACTTGATATACGTTATGTTATCAAAATTTTATTAACGACATGAGTTTTTCTTTACTTCTCTTTAAATTATATCTAATTTATATGTATATAATAATATCTAATAAATATAATAATATTTAATTTGTTGTATTTAATAGTTAAATAAATGAATTATTATTTTAAATTATATTTTAATTTTCTATTATAACCGTATCATAAAAAATTATAATATTATACAAGTTCAATTAATAAATAACAAAATTTAATACTTTAATTATATTCGCAACTAAATTTGAAGAAAAATTTAATTTTGAGAAATATAAAATATGGGAAATGTTGAGAAAAAGATGTTAAGATAAATGTTTAAAAGTTTTCATCTTATCCGGTACTAAGTTAACGTGAGATGTTAACATAACATGATCAATACCAAGTTCATGTATACCGTTTGCCGCCAATTATTCACGGGACGCAATTATCCCGTCGGGAATAGAAGGGTTAAACAGTCCAATAACGAGCGTAAGTATGGATATAATAATGTATGCGTGTATCTCTCAATATGAATACCAAACGTGCATTTCCTGTAAGGCTCGCTAGGGAATTCATCTCGAGGAAAAAAAACAGAAGTTAAAATAATCACTACAAAAACTTATGAAAGAGATAGCTATTTTTACATTATAACTTTCGTCAAACAATCTAAGATATTTTCACGTATATTACGCTATGAAAAATCTTTGAAAATATCTCTTAATGTCGATAAGTATCATTTATACGCCACAAAATATCATTGTATCACCTCAATACAGCAAGCTTGGTTTTCATCTCTCATGAGTTACTACATTTTCGATATCTCATTCATTAATCAACGCTCCGATTCTGGAAATGCCCTGCGAAAAGAATCGACCGCTTTCGCGTACTTTATATTTCAAATGCTTATGCACTATTTGTGTTCTCGCTAGCAGCAAATAACTTGAATAACTAATCCCTGGGTATAATAAAGGTAACACGGCAAGCCATCTGCATAGAGCGAAGAAACACAGAAATACGAGCGTCTAGATGGGAGTGACTGATCTAAAAGTGTAACGGAGGAAATATAAAGGGAAATGAGAGAGAGAGAGAGGGGGGAGAGAGGAGAGAGAGAGAGATCGAGCCTTAGCTGTTAAGCTCCAAATAACTATTAAAGTAAACTCTACTCGAAATTAGCTAAAATTTAGTTTCTCTATACAATGTTGGAATTTGATTCATTAATATCTTTCTACTCTCAACCACTCGTTTCTATCTCATCTCATAACTTCGAAATTTTTAAAAATATATTAAGATACATAGTTTGTGTGTGTGTGTGAAATGTAATTTACACGCGATATGAAAACTAGTTTTTCCAAATTTCTCTTAATTCGGCTTTCAATGTTAAAAGGAAGAATAGCGAAGTTATGACATAATTATATGTGGAATATTGTCCTGAACCGACACGGCAAAAATTCACAGCGCTATCTCTAAAAATATTTGAGACATGCGCTGAAAAAATAGATGAGTGAGTGAGGAATATACGGACGGCGCTTCTCGTTACACGAGGGTCGACCCTCCTGAAATTTGTTTACTACGCCGAGGGACACCGGTGTCCGGGGCTAAGTATAGCCGTAAGGAGGGAGAAACCGCGAAAATGCTATTTTTATAAGCACGCGCCGCGCGGACATTGTTGTGCCCGATCGGCTGTGTCTCGACGGTGCCGCCGTTGGCCGGGTCGTACAGTCGTCATTGATGTCGTCGCGATCATCGTCATCGTCGCTACGACACGCATACGCCCGTAAAAATCGAAATCGAGCCCGGAAACTGAACATGTAATCGATAATTATATTATTAAAAAATACTTTTGAACAGAGTAAAACAGTTTATCAAAATGATTTTCTTTTCGTAAAAAAATTCCGACGTTTCATCGCGTATATAAAAAAGATAATAATTTTTTCAAATCATTCAATGTAATAAACTAATATATTTGTCATTTAAAAATAAATTTTTAGAAACTCGTATTTATTATTTTCACCTTTAACTTATATAAATAAATCTGTACAGCAATTATTTATGTTAAATTAAAAGTATTCCAAGCGTGGGTTCACCAATTGTTTATCTAAAGAGCTTTACTGTGCAATTTCAATTAGTCACGAGACATAAATTTGCTTTCATTTAAGGTTTATTTTTAATATTGTTAATATTGCTCAAGTAAATCAAATTAATCAAAGTCATCAAATTATCTCTAACTTCAATTATAAGGGATGAATTATACATATTTTTTAACAAAATAAACAAATATGGATTTTTCTGTACCTATATTTAAAAGTAATACAAGAAGTTTGATGGCGATTTAGAACCTAGATCAAAAATTATTTCAGTAAAAAGTAAACATGTTTTTTTTTTAAATAATTAAGAGAATATTTTCATTCAAATTATTAAATTGTATTATTAAATATAAATATTAACCCTATTGAACTATTTCATATATATGTAACATTCATTTTTATATGGAAAGAACAAAAATTTTTAATTCCAATCACTTTTTACAGAGACTATACACCCGATACATCATTAATCGAAAATTATAGGTGTGCCTCGAGATTCTTTTTGAGAAGTCGTTCTCAAAACGCTCTAAAATTTCGTAGTGAGGTCACGAGACACTCCGCTATCGCTTCTAATAACAAATTCCTAGTGGCAGAGAGTCGGCATGGTAGGGACCTCGAGGGAGACGGGATACTAAACGGATCTGTTCCTACTCGGCTCGTCTAATGCGAGATTCGTGTATGCTGACTGATAACGATTGGGCTTTCGCGTCGGTGTCTAGCACGGTGGAGATGCTCGCGCGTTGCGGCACGCGGCCGATTGATCTTCTTATCCCCAATGCGAGATCACGCGCGCGCTCTCGCTCGCGCGAACACGCGTGTATCCGCCATACGTAAAACGCGGAATACCTGCTAATTATAGTCCCGTAGCTGAAGGAAGGAAACTGCGGAGGCACTATTTTTACGACTCTCCCGCCAAAATATCGTCGCGCGTCTGCCACGCGCTCCTACTCGACGGGAGGACAGGCGTTCACCTTTGTGTTACGTGACGCGTTTTATCTCATTGCACGACCGATAATTTCACGGAACTTGATTTGAAATGGAGCGCAAGAGGGAGTTAAAGAAATATATATATTTTATCCTCGATTTGTGAACTGAAGAAACCGCTCGACGATTTACTTGCTCTCAGGAAAATATTTTTCGGATCGCTGAGAAGAATCTTCGATTTTTAACGCAAAATTGCATTGTGATAAATTCGATAACGTAAAGGAGGAGAATATATTATATTATATATTCATGAAAAATATAATTAAATTTCATACGTGATATATCGCTACTTATATTTATAGACATATTCTTCATGACATCCGTTAATGTTACATAATATCAAATAACTTATTCCATCGTCATAGAATTTTATAGAATTTCAGTCGTATTTAAATCTAATTTCGATTAATTACGATACGATTCACGAACCTTTTTCGATAATTTGTAATCCAATCATATTAATTACGATAATCTCATTTCATTTTTAATCTGTCTATATGAGAACTACGATTTATTTCTTAAGACGATTTTTAAAAACGTTAACCGATAAGAATTGCTATCAAAGCTATCTTATTAATCATCTGTCTACAGTCTAAGTCTTTTCATTCAGACCAAGTTTTTTACTGTTCGAGGCTTTCAAAAAATGTAGGAAAATTCACACACATACACACACACACACAAGAGTTACTTTTAAACATCTCTATTTACATTATAAAATAGATGTCACATGATATTTTAGAAGAAGGAATTGGACTCGGCTTTTCTTTATTTTGAAGAAATTTGAGAGAAAAATTTTACTTGTGACACAAAAGACTCAGATTGCAGGCGGATGGTTAATAGCAATTGTATCATAAAAATCGAATCATCTCAAAAATAATAAAGGACTATCGTAATCACGATAGTTCCAAATTAACCGCAGCTCGTATAGCCTGGCTCATTATTATCGGCACAACGCTCATTAAATCTCCCGAGACGTCGCACGGGTTACGTGAAGGCTCTCGCGATTTCTGCGAGATTAATACGCGACGATTGAGACGAAGAGGAAGAGGGAGAAGAAGACGCGCCCAGCCGGTGCGTGAATGCACGCGTGCAAGCTCGCTTATGAGGTGGTCGCATAACTCTCGCGAAATGCGTGATTCAGGACGCGTTCAGGGGTACGACTGGTACGAGCCGGTCGGTGCGGC